AACATTTTTCTTCATCCTATTTTGCTTATGGCTGTCTCTTTTTAAGGATGGACTTTGTGTATTGGTGTCGAATGTGACTGGATTTTAGCTGAAATCGCACCAAGCACAATCTTCGAGACACCGCTCGATCGTCAGTGTTTTCTGTATTGTATTGTATTGTGTTATTGTATTGTGTACCTATTACGCCTGTGTATTTTACCTTTATATTATAATTAATTATGTATTTTGTAACACCTATATCTATCTGTATCTTTATTATTGTAATTTGTTATCACCGGGTAGTGCTCACTGCGGAACCCGGCATGTACCATTGTGTGAGTTAATAAAGAAATGAATGAATGAATGAATTCACACAGTCGTTTCGTGTAAGTACGAAATATTTGCTAAATATCATTATTTCTCACTTACACCGGCAAATGTCGACATTCAGCATGCACTAACGGTGAATGTTGAATAAAGACATTTTTATTACGTTAAGACAAAAATGCAACTTTTTAAAATTACATCTTACTGTATAATTATAACAGACTTGGGATGGATTTTAGAATTTTAATTTCCTTTTCAAGCAAATCTGCATTTTAAATACATTCTTCTCATTACTAACGATTTGAATAAACAAATACAGATTTATTTTAATGAAATAGCGATATTTCATGTGTAATAATTATATTTTACACGTAGTCAATTATACTTTCTCTAGGATAATGCGACATTGCTGGGGGGGGAAACAATACCATCGTGAAATCTACATATTAATTTAAAATGTAATTGCCAGCTGAATACTGTATAGACTTTGAAATTGGTAAACATACTTGGAGCACAAAAACGGCGGCATTCCTCTAAAGTTTGGAAATTGTTTCTGTTTCCGCCACATCCACCATAAACGAATAGCAGGCAATCACGAGTAAAAACATTATAATAAAAACGAATCGTTAATCTGTGACATGGTCCTTTCTTTATCAGGCCGAAGATTATATACCATTTGTCTTTCTAAATTCAGAATTAATTCAAATTAATGAAAATATGAATATTCTAATCGCACGAAAAAAAAATCTATTCTTACCTTGAGCATCGGTACTGATGCAAAGAATTAATATAACGATGCAAACCAATTTTGTATTCATAGCTATTGATATATTATATATTTACTCGCCTTTATTTATACTGCAATTTTTATAGCTGGAAATTATACACCTGACACGCAGATATATTGACACATTTATCATCATTAAATTTCATAATAATATCGCGATATTGTAAATGACTTTCACATGTTTTAATTAAGGCTAAAAAATAGGAATTTATTCATAAATAATTTCAAAAAATTCCATTTATTTCAAAGCGTTAATCATGCACGTGTCGATTAAAGTGCAAGCCTGGAAATCGAATCCGGGAGAGCAAATCCTCAGGACTTTTTTATGGGGCGCCAGATCAACTGGCGTACGCCATAGGGAGAGTTCGAGAGTTCGATTTTGGGGAGAGTTCGAGAAAATCGACGAAGGTGAATTCCATCGATTTCAAAACAAAACTTTAGACAGTTAGAACAAATTCACTTACTTATCTCAAGTTATTAAAAAGTAAACACTTTCTTAACAATTCATTAAGAGTTTTTACTCCAATGAAAAGGGACAATTGGAAGTCCGTTTTGGTAGAGAATAATTCTCAATACTTATAAAAGTATACGTTCGAGATCTTTCTCTAGGATTACAGAAAAATAATTCAGTTAATGGGAATTCTTTAAGAAAACTTTATGATCAACTTGAAACAAAATTCCAATCATTGGAAGCATTACGAGTCGCTAGAGATAAGCGTTATAGATGTTATAGCCACTAGTTGATTAGTCTTTACCAGACGAGACACTTCGTTGTTGGGAAAGATTTCTGTTAGATCATCGTATGTTTAGAGAAGAAACGATTTATGAAATCATTCTTGTAACCAAGTAATGTTCACAAACTCATTGTGTAGGACGATCTTGATCGTTTGTATCGTTTCAAAATGCAGTTGATGAAGTGACGATACACTTGGCCATCAAACAGTTTGATTCATTCGTTCCAAATGAGCTTTCTAATAATATAGGAGAGAAAAACACTTATAAGAGAGGTAAATTATTATTCATATCTTCTGCAGCTGACTTATTTGCTTCTTCCATAGAAGGCTTTCAGAAGATTTGTGTATTTTGTTCTAGACATTATAAGTCAGAGAAAAGTTCAAAAAATGTCATTATAAGAAAGAAAAGGTGTAAAAGTTTCCCGATGATTCGAGTTTGTCCATCTGAAGAGGGAAAAGATAGAGAACTATCACCACAGAAAGACAAAGCACTTGCTAATTTAGTAAAATTCCTTGTATGATGCTGCAAACATTGATTGTTTTGTTCAGGGGTCAAAGAATTAAACGTACAGTACAGTACCTGTTCGGGGTTTACGGTTCATGGTATTCAGTTTACTGATTTTCAGTGTGAATCAATTGTACTTTTCATTGGCGCTGATGTGAATGATAACTTGATGACAGACGGATATAGGAAGCTTTCTTGTGGTCTCGCAGCTGTAGAATTTAAATTAGTTTGGACAGTCATGAGCCACCTGCTCAAACATTGTCTAATGATGCAGCCATGATCGTTATTTCTATGTTGAATGAAGACGTTTGTATTTCGGATTCATGGACTTTCGATTCATTAGGTATTAATGATCTTTCAGAAAAGAGAACTACACGATTCCGCAGAACAACATTTTTTCAGCACTGTCAAATTAGATAATACCGTGCGTTTTACAATTATTTACCGTGAATTGAGACATTCCCCACTTCCAGACTATTATGAACTAGCTTTCAAGAATTGAATTCGACAATTAAAAGACTTAAATAAGAAGGTTTCTATCAAACCAACGATGATGTATTTCAAGAATGACTTCTTCATAATAGTATAGAAGATTTGTCTGCAAATGAGATTTAAGCTTCTTGTTATTATTTACCACCCAGACCTGTAGTCAACAAGAATAGCACAGCTAGAATAAGACCCGTATTTGTTGCATCGGCTAAGCAAAAGAGATTGCCCATTCTTCACGAATGTCTTGCAAAAAAATTAAATCTCATTGAATTGATTCCTACAAATAATTTAAACTCGTATTCATTTGGAAGAAATAGGTGCATTGGCAGATATTTGTAAAGCTTTTCTACAAATCAGTTTGCTTCCTAATGATAAGAACTTTCTCCGATTTCTATGACACGAAAATGATGGACATTTGAAACAATAGACATTGTAGATTGATGTTTTGTGTATGTTGTAGTCTCTTTCTTCTGAGAGCTGTGATCCAATATCTCCTTCAGTCAGTTTTAAAATTGATCAAGAAAAGAGAGTCGACATAACCAGAAGATGATATTCCGAAAATCATGAAGAGTTTTTTGTATTGGTAAATGGGTGACAATTGTTCAAAGTAAATTAAAGTTGCAACGTTTTGTGCAAGAAATGAAAAGTTTATCGTCGAAAGGAAGTTTGAGTTGAGAAGGTGATCTTTCTGTAAACAGTAGCAGATACAAAAGTTTTAGGAATAATTCGGCAGTAAAGTAATGAGACATTCGAATAATTGTGATGAATCTGAAGAATGTGTTTCGAAAAGATTACAAAGAAATTAATTTTAGCAGCAGCTCATCGTATTTACGATAAACTAGGTAAGATCCGTCCAGTACTTTGATCCTTAAGTGTGGAGATAAGAAAAGGATTGAAGTCGTGGTAAATTGGAGAAAGGGGAAGGTGATATAATCGTTATCATTTTAAATTGACAGAGAAATTTTCTTAACTTTGGGTTATTTAAATTTCATTTTAAATCGTTAAACAATCGATAAATGTTGTTCCACAGTTAGTAATTGTCTTTCTATCCGCAAATGTTTAATTTTATTTCCAATTCGACTTAAAATAAAGATGAATTTAGATTCAGAAAATGGGATTTAGCCTCGATGGAAGTTAACAGGAAGGAAAAGACCGTTTGGAAGGAAGAAGGAATGTCTGAGAGAAAAGGTATCATTTCGAATTTCTGCATAGAAGGCATTGTAGATATTGGAAAAACAGTTTTTCCAGCAAATATTTTTAAAGGTTTCTAATTTTCAAGATCTATTATGTCTAGTTCATATAATAATGATCTCTCTATCGAAGAAAGAAAACGGTACCTCGTGAAATTAAACCCGTATCTTACTGTTTTGTTTCTCTAATAACTTTTATGACATTTTACGACTTCAGATTTTCTAGAGACCTAGAGAAGAGTCATTACCGAAAATTATGTATGGGGTTATTTATAACAACTTGAGTAAATCTGGAATTTACACTGCAGAATTATTACAAGCATATAAAAGTTTACATGGTTACAATTATTTTATCGGCGCGAAAATTCGAGATATTTTGGCATATTTATCAAATGAAGTACAGTAGATATGTTTTACGAAAAAGTAAAAACTGGTCAATACGAATTGAAAAACGGAAAGAAATACAGTGAAACCTAGCATAACGAGCAAAACAAATCATAGCCTATTATATAATAAACAACTCAAATGCTCATAAACAACTCAACTTTACATATGCCAAATTCTTGGCATATGTAAAGGCTATAATTATATTTTAAAAATTAATTAATTTGACTAGAGGTAGGCAGTTATGCAGCCAATTCGTATTAAATTTAATGACCAATTCCAAATTAAATTTTAGAAATGTCTAAATTAAAAATGAATTATTTATAATTATTAAATTTAATACGAACTGGAAGCATAAGTGCCTATCTCTAATCAAATTAATTAATTTATAATATTTAACTATAGCCTTTACATAGCCGAAGAATTTTGCATATCGTTTGGCGTGTTTATCTGACATATTATCTGTGATTTTTTTTTATGTTTCTTGCAAATCGAATTGACATTCCATTTTGATTCATTTTGTGCTAGAAAAAAAGATGAAGATAATTCGCAATCCTTAACAATGTATATTGTATAATTTTCTTTGAATACACGATACACATAAAATACTTGAGGATTTTTTCGCCAAAAAACGAATTATCGTATTTTACATTAAATTATATGAGAAAAACGGTTTCGCTTAATTAATTCGGTTAAGCGAGGTTTTACAGTATACCAGTCTTACTTCACATGTAAACAGGAAGACGAAATTATTTCTAGACAATTTTTATGCAAAACTGACTAAATCCGTTTATTTTAATACAAATAAAACATGCATTTCACTAGTATAAAGCCTTCATCTAATAGTATAAGTTATTTTTTAATTATCAGTCACGAAAAAAATAAAACAAACATAATTATTAAATTTATTAAATAATAAATACATTTAATCCAAATGTATTAAAATTGCATCTTACTATATTAATAATGGACTTGTGATGGATTTTAGGATTTCAATTTCCTCCTTAATCAAATCTGCATTTTTAATTCATTCAACTCATTACAAATGAATAATACATTTGAATAAACAAATACACAATTATTATAATGCAATAACGATATTTCATGTGTAATAATTATATTTTACGCGTAGTCCATTATACTTTTCTAGGACAAATCGAATTTTCTGAAAAAAAAAAAAAAAAAAAACAGAATACCAGCGTGAAATCTATATATTAATTTATAAACTAATTGCGAGCTTAATTAATATATTATTTGAAATTGGTAAACTTACTTGGAGAACAAAAATGGCAGCATTCCTCTAAAGATTGGAAATTGTTGCTGTTTCCGCCACATTCACCATAAATGAAAAGTTCGCATTTACTAGTAAAAAATTTATAATAATAACGAGGCATTGCTGCGCGACACGGTCCTGGATCTGGCTGAAATTGACAGTCCACTGATCTTTCTAAAATCAAAATTAATTCAGATTAATGAAAATATGAATATTCTACACGCACGGAAAAAAAACAGATTCTAACTTTTGGCATCAGAATTGATGCAAAGAATTAATATAATGACGCAAAACACTTCTGTATTCATAGCTTTTGTTATTTTATATATTTAATCGCCTTTATTTATACTGTGATTTTTATAGCTGAGAATTACACACGTGAAACGCAGATATATGTATATTAT